ATTTCTCCCAGTATTTTAAGAGTCAGGAAAGTAACCTTTCGAATTCTAACGTGCAAACACAATAAGGCCTAACCACAAGAGGGGAAAAATAAACGCCAAAACTCCTTAAAAGTACTGTCCTGCCAACATCAAGTAACTGAGATGTAAAACAATAATGAGCAAACCCAATAACCTCTATAATGATCACCACCTCTCCTAACACTTAACAAGCTGGACTTTGAAGACACGGGGACCCCCCCCCCCTAACGACTAAGCCAATGTGGACTGCTGTAAAAATACCTCGTTTTCGAGATCATCTCAGAAAGCATTTTCTAATGTGCTTTTTCCGTCTCCTATTTATAACACCCTTCTACTCTATCCCTTCCCACCCACGTTAAGTTTTATCTGTCCTCACAGGAATTACTGGGGACAAAAACCACGTAGAAGTGACCCTACTTCTGTCTTGCTAAGTTCAAGTTCCTTGGATCCCAGACTTTACCAAGGCTGCCATATCTAGGGCCATTAAGAATGAAAATTGGGGCCGGAGGGATGGCACGGAGGGTAGGACGTTTGCCTTGCACGCGGCCAACCCAGATTTGATCCCCGGCATCCCACATGGTCCCTCAAGCACTGCCAGGAGTAATTCCTGAGTGCAGAGCCAGGAGTGACCCCTGAGCATCGCTGGGTGTGACCCAAAAAGGCAAAAAAAAAAAAAAGAAAGAAAGAAAAACTGCTGAAATTAAAAATCTCGTGCCTAAAAGTGTTAAGAACAACAGGGTGGTATAAAACATAAGTGTCAAAGAGTCTTAAATCAGTTATGGATTAGCAATTCCTCATACAGTTAAGACAGTGACTAAAGGGGTGTGAAGTGACATGCCAGAAACTGTGGAGTATGTTGCGTGTAGAATATTAAAAACAAAACCAAGGGCCAGAAACAGTAGGTAGGGTGCTTGCCTTGAATGACGCTGACCCGAGTTCACCGCTGACCGAGGTTAGGTCTCCAGAACCCCGTGTGATCCCCCAGGCCCCACCAGGAGTGATCCCTGAGTACCGCCAGGTTTGACCCAAAAAAAATTGTATGAAATAAAATTAACGTCAGCATATTCCCAATTCTTCCCCCACTCACCGAAGTATTGCTCACTGTCATTTGTACACATCACAGTGCCAAAAACTCTTTTTTCTCCTTTCAAGATAGTGTACGAGTGGCATCGAAATTTACAAAACGTGTACCTTCGTCCATGAGACAAAAGTAGGAACTAAATGTCCCGTGAAACAGTATGTTTAACACTCACCATCTTAAAGTCAACAGTAAATTTTTACTGTAGCTAAAACTGGTCTTCCAAATGAAACACTAGGCACCAAATACAAATTCTAATATAAATGACCTTATAAAAGTCACGCTAAAAAAAAAAAAATCCCTCCTCCAATTCACCACATAATAGGCAACTTGCAGGACATTATCAAGCCAAGATGCTAAATCTATACAACTGGGTATATGCTCACCCTGCACTGTAATCTTATTACCAATGCAAATTTTCAGGTTATATATTGCCAGAAGTGAAGTGTGTATCTTTCTCAACCTTGTGAAAAGAAAAAAGAAAAAAAAAAACACCACTTACAAAGATAGAAGTCATCCTTAAGTTATCTTGGTCATACTATTTCAGTAAATCCTTCCACCCAAATTAACAGAAATTAGTGTATTATCAACAGCTCTAGACAATTTCAGAATCACTCCTGGCAGTGCTCAGGGGACCACACCGAATGCCAAAGACTGAACCTTACTCGGCCACGTGCAGTCAAGTACTATCTCTCAGGCCCCATCAACATCAACATACACTACTTCTAAAGAACAAAATAACACCAAAGAACATATCCAAACTTGAAATAAAAGCCCATCCAAAAAAAAAAAATCCCTAATAATTACAACGAAGTGATAATTTTTCCAAATTATTTCAATCTGAGTGGCACCTACACAAGTATTCCACATCAGTGTATGCACAATTGTTACTCCAATGAGGACTGTCCTTACACAAAGATTTACAACCTTTAATATACATTTAGGAAAATAGAGAACAAGAAACCAAGAACCCCAGGAGGTTAGAGACTGACTCATCTGGTAGCAGACATCTACTACATGAGTGTTTGAACTCAAATCGCATACTAAGGAACTCACATCACTTCAAGAGTAGACTGGGAGCTCTAACAGGGCTCTGCGAAAGGACCAGGCAGATGGCTCTGGGGTGAGGAGTCTGAGTTCCATAGCATGCATGAGTGCCCACACACCAAAGCACAAAACCCTCCAGTACTCTCAGCAGATAAACACTGATTCTGTAATAAAATAGTAAGCTAACTTGTGACCTTTGGCAGCCCAAATCTAGAAGAGTGATGAGCTGTAACTTATCTGCCCTTGATTCCCGCCCAAGCTATCATAACCAAGTATCCCATACGCAAAGGCTACGAATCAACCATCTCTTAGTCCCTCCTGAAATTCTACCAAAACCCAGTACTGCTTGGGGGGGTTGGAGGTATAAGGAGTGGCAACGGGTGATGTGGGCAAAACACTCCAATAAAATGACAATATTCCAAGCTGCAAAGCCAAGCTGTCAGCAGTGTAGATACCAGGAGTCACCACTCAAAGCCAGCGACTGACAGCTAAGGACTGAGAAATGTCCCACAGACACTGAAACCCCAACTTCCCTGTAGAGATCCACGGCATCCCACTGGAAAACCAGACTTCCCAGTCTGAGTTAAAAGGGAGCCATAATAGGCACAGGGATAAAACGGGCCGTGATAACAATGAACAAATTCAAGACTGTTCAAGCACACCTCCCCTCCCACTGCCTGGCAGCAAGTTTTTCACACAGCAGGGAGGTGAATGGGAAAGACCTTTGATAGATACAGTCAAGGAGTTTCCCATTAAGTGGGCCAGATAGATAATCCAAGTGAACCCCATGGATGACAAGCCCCACACAAATTCACATCCAATGAACCAATGCTACACTGATGAGCCCAACGAGAGGGAATTCTCTGTGAAAGGCAACGGGACTAGAAAGAAAGTGAACTACGGTGAAGACACATCCGCTGTCACTGGCGAGAGCAACAGTCCGGTGTTAGGGTACTGCCTTCCAGGCAGCAGCCCAGGGCCAATCCCTGGC